GGAGGCGAAGGGGAAGGGGAAGGGGAAGGGGAAGGGGAAGGGGAAGGGGAAGGGGAAGGGGAAGGGGAAGGGGGGCGGCACCCCTCCCCTCACCGGCTGACTGGACTTAATCATACCCCTCGTGTGCAACCCCGTACCCGGTAAGAGAAAGCAAAACCCAAACCTCCCCCATCAGCTCTCCCCTCTCCTCCCACGCCCCCTCTTCTCCACCCGCGCCCGCCCGCCCGTGCGTATGTGTGTGTGTGTGTGTGTTTCTCCCGCCCTCCTCGATCTCCCTAGCGGTCCATTACCCGTGGGTCACAATTCGACGCGACCAGTCTCTATTCCAGTCCCAGCTTCGCCGGTGGCCGCCCCGCCAGTGCTGTGGCGGGGGGCGGCGGAGGGAGGGGAGGTCCCGGCTCTGTGGCCGGCAGCCGGGGCGGCGTGCGGCCCCGGCTGGGCAGTGCCCTGGCGGTGATGGCCAGTCGTAGGGCCCACGAGGCGGCTAAGGCTCAGGAGGAGGCGGAGGTGCTGGAGAGCCAGGACCCCGTGTATAAGGTGAGGGGGGAGGGGGAGGGGAGGGGAGGGGTTAAACCCTATATCACCACCTGCACAACCGCTGCCAGTACCGGGCCCCCTTTTTTTCTCACTCGTTTGTTTTTTTTTGTTACAAGAGTCTTCCCTCTCCCCCCTCTCCCTCCCCCTCCCCGTGTGTATGTGTGTCTGTCTGTCCACTCGCGTGTATGTGTGTATGTATGTATGTGTGTATGCGCGCTGCCAGACTCTTGTAAATGTCAACAAGCTGCACCGGGGCATTCGGAGCCAGATCCGCGAAGTGAAGAGGGAGCTGTCGGAGTCACAACCCTCCTGGGCAGGGAGGGCAAGACAGCAGGCAACAGCAACAGCAGGGGCGGGCGCGGGGGCGGGGCCGGGCGCGGGGGCGGCACAGCAACCCCAGCAGCAACTGCAGCAACCGCAGCAGCAGGCGGGGAGAGTGTGAGCGTGGCGCAGGTTTCCCGCTATTTGTTTGCCACTGCTACTGCTACTGCTACTGCTACTGCGTACATGTACATGTAGATATGTGTATATCTAGTACCGTTGTTGCTGTTATATGTTGATGTTGCTGTTGATGCTGTCGGCAATGAAACGTTTTTACAAATGCCGAACTGGAACTGGCGTCGTTGGCTTGGGTCATTAGCGCGAGGGTGGTGCCATTGCTGGTAGTGCTATCAGTGTGTGTGTATGTATGTGTGTGTGTGGGGGGGGATAACTGACGGGAAGTGGAGGAGGATGGCTCGGGGGGGGGAATGGAGCCGTGTACGGGGACGAAGAGCCGCCGTGGAGGTGTAGCTGCGGGTGATGTGCAAGGATACGCATGCCTGTGTGTACAGGGGTGTTGAGGAGGTTGTGTTTGTGTGTGTATGTGTGTATGTGTGTGTGTATGTGTGTATGTGTGTATATGTGTGTGTATGTGTGTGTATGTGTGTGTATGTGTGTGTATGTGTGTGTATGTGTGTGTATGTGTGTGTATGTGTGTGTTGTATGTGTGTGTATGTGTGTGTATGTGTGTGTATGTGTGTATGTGTGTATGTGTGTATGTGTGTGTATGTGTGTCTCTGGAGTACCGTGTTGAAGGTGCTACGGCTGCGGGCGTATTATGACAGAGTCCACTTGGGTTCCGGCAGCAGGCGCGGGCGCTCCGGCGCGGTTTCCTTGCTGGCTTTACTTAGCTCAGCAAAGCAGGTGGTTTTGGCAAGATTATCATATTATAATTAACTTTCGACAGGACGCAGGCTGGATGCATTTTATGTCTATGGCAGGACTGGCAAAGATATTCGCATTTGTCATTCTGTCGTTGTACCCGCTGCGAGGTGTTCCTGCTGCTGCTGCTGTGCCGCAAGTGGACGCGGATGCGGATGTCGCTATCGTAACTTGTTCTGTTGCCGGACCGCGACTAGCTGGCTGCCTTGGCTCTTCTTTTGATGCAATATGAATGACGATTTGAAAAACGGGGTCTCTCCTTTGCTGGCAATGCAAGTCACATGCATTCCTCCATATTCTTCCTATTATTAATAAAAAGCTTTCTCCTTTCTTCCGCGTGGTCTGTGAGGCATCCTCTTGCGCTTTGGATTTGACTTTGTCGTTCTATTTGGCGCCAACGCCGGCGTTCCTCCTGTATTTCTTCCATTTCCTTCGCGCGGTGAACATCGTTACGTGGGTCATGCATAGCATGCAGCTTTCCTAAAATTGTTGACGTGATGCATTTTCGTGTGTGGACTTGACCGAGGGTGGCTTTGCGCTCTCCAGGTCGGAACGTTTTGCAGAATGCGATCAAATGACAATCCAGCGTCAATCTTGTGGACAGATCCAACGACGTATTTCATGTAGAGGACGTATCAACATAAGCTCCCTGGCAAACGTCTGAGCTGACATGGGAATTATGTTAAGTTGGGCATGTTTTGTGGCGCGCTCACGTGACCGACCCATGGGTCTTACATGCATGGATCCAGATGCGCGCACTCCTGGAAAAAGACATTTTTGCCAAAACCTTGTAAAGCCCTTATATCTTATCCCTATATCCATTGTATACATTTCCTTCTCATGTACGATACAAGTACAGCTCCGTCCCCTGTTTGCGGATCCTCGCGAACAGTCCGCAAGCTGGACACAGCAGCCTTCGTGCTGAGCTGAACAGAGGTAACCATGTGCACGTGAAAGTGTAGATTGTCCTCCATCCGCACCTCTGTGCCTCTGCGCCTGAACCTGGCGCTAAAATGCGCCTTGACGGCCACCGCTTTTTGTTATCTTTCCTTCGGCGCGAACTCTCCCAGGAACAGGAACACCGCATCCAAGTGGTGCTTCTAAGCTTCTTAAGCTCTTAAAGCCGTTTATATCCGTTTAGGCACCTCAGCAGCTAGCGCATCGAAACAAAGCCGCAGCCCCGCAGCAGCCCCTCATCGCCAACGTGACACCCTCTCGCAAACGGGACGGTGCGGCCGATGCACATGCTGGCCTCTTTATTAACGAGGGTGTGCAGGAAGGCAGGCAGGCAAGCGCGCAGGCGAACGGTCCCAAAATGATGCTTTTTGATAAGCAGGAAAGGGCGGCAGTGATGTCTCGTAGGGACGGCCCCCCCGCGGCGGCGCGCCCCGCGCTACTGCGGCAGCTGACCCAGGTCGCGAAGGGACCTTCAGTTCTTCCGCTGCCTCGGACTGCTCAGCCACGAACACGGCGCTGCTGGGGTAAGGTGTGGTCCGACGGCGGCGGCGCAGCCTCAGGCAACTCCAAGCCTGCGGCGATGGCGACGGTGGCGGGCAGCAACCCGCAGCGGAGACGGCGGCGTCCTCCTGCCGCCGCGTACAGCGATCTGCCGGCAGCGGCCGTACCGTCAGCACGCCGACGTGGGGTGGCGACACCGTCCTGCATGGATCGCGAGGTGGCGCATCAGGCGACGGACGCATCTGTCGGCGTCGTGACTGCTGCCGCTGATGAGTTGTTCTTGTTGGCGGCGGCGGCGGCGGCGGCGACGGCTGCGGCAGATGCAGTAGCGGTGGGAAACAATGTTGGTGGCGGCGGAAGCGGCAATGCCGCGCCGGAGGATGCCGTCGACCTGATCGTTGCACCGGACGCGGCACTGCGCTTCGCCGTGTTGACGGAGGCAACGTCAGACATGCAAGAGGTGGCGGCGGCGGCGGCGGCGGCCCCGTCGCC